CCCCAGGTGGGGGACCCCCCCCCCAGCGTGTGGGGACCCCCCCCAGGGTGTGGGAACTCCCACAGGGTGTGGGGGGACCCCCCCATTCAGGCAGCGCAGGCAGCCCCCCACTCCTGGCTTCTCCCCCGGGATGGGGAGTGCCTGCTGGGGGGGGGGCAGTGGGGTGAGGGGGTACCCCAAACCTCACTCCCACCCCCCAGGGGTCACAGGGCTGTGACACCCCCGTGGGTGTCACACAGACTTTGGGGGGGGAGTGTTAATCCTCAAGGTGCCACCTTGGGTGGGCAAATATCCCCCCCACCAGGTCCCACCAGGGATGGGGAAGACCCTGGCCCCATCGGGACCACCCTTGGGGGCCCTCCCTCAGGCCCTGACCCCTGGGCCCCCCCCCCCCGTCTTCCCGCAGTGTCGTTCGTCCTCTCCAGGATGGCGGCTTGTGGGGGGGCCGCTAAGAACAAGGTGACGGTCTCCAAGCGGGTTTGGGACTTCTTGACCAAGGAGAGCCCGGCCAAGCTGGCCCGTCTGAAGGAAGAGACCAAGGTCAGCATCATGGTGGACGGCGAGACCTCCGACATCTACGTCCTGCAACTCTGCGTCCCCCCCCCTGGCCCCCCCGGGGGCCTCTGCCCGGCCCGTAAAGCCCTGAAAGCATTACTGAAGGAAACGGAGAAAGAATTGAAGAAGAAAACTCAACGCCATGGCGAGTTGGTGGGCTGCGTCACTGTCCTGGAACCCGGCGGGACCGGTTTGGGGGGCCGGGGGCCGGTGGGAAGCCGTGGTGGGGGGTCGGCGGTAGCCGGTTGTTCGAGGGAAGAGGAACCCGACCGGCAGTGTCCCATCTGCCTGGGGGAGATCCAGAAAATGAAGACGTTGGAGAAATGCCGGCATTCCTTCTGCGAGGACTGCATCACCCGGGCGTTGCAGGTGAAGACGGCCTGCCCCATGTGCGGGCGCTTCTACGGGCAACTGGTGGGCAACCAGCCCCCCAATGGGCGCATGCTGGTCACCCGGGACGCCGGCCTCCTCCTCCCCGGCTACGAGAAGTTTGGCACCATCATCATCCAGTACGTCTTCCCGCCCGGCGTCCAAGGGGTAAGATGGCACCGGTACCTCCCACCCAAAACTCCCTCACCAGGCTAGCCTGGGTGGGCCAGAAGGGTCTGGGTGCTGCTGGCATTTGGGTGTCCCCAGCCGTCAGGGTGCTTCTCAGCCAAATTGGCACCCCTGGGTGTCCCTGACCCAGCTCTGTCCCCCTGGCACCCTTGGACACCCCCAAAACCCTGCTGGGTGTCCCTGACCCAGCTCTGTGCCCCTGGTCCACTTGGGGACCCATGAACCCTGCGGAGTGCTCAGGGTGCCCTGCTGGCACCCCTGGGTACCCCCAAACCCTGCTGGGTGCCCTGTCCCAGCTCTGTGCCTCTGGTGCCCTTGGGTACCCCCAAACCCTGCTGGGTGCCCCCAACCTAGTTTTATTGGGTGCCCCTGACCCAGCTCTGTGCCCCTGGTGCCCTTGGGTACCCCTAAACCCTTCTGGGTGTCACTGGCACCCCTGGGTGTCCCCAAAACCCTGCTGGGTGCCCCTGACCCAGCTCTGTACCCCTGGCACCTTTGGGTATCCCCAAAACCCTGCTGGGTGTCACTGGCACCCCTGGGTGTCCCCAAAACCCTGCTGGGTGCCCCTGACCCAGCTTTGTACCCCTGGCACCCTTGGGT